GATTAAGGCTTCCCTAGGAGTTCGAGCTAATATTATAAATATTATTATAGTTTCCTATAAATTTCTTAAAGTAGAGTCTATTAAGATCTATTTAAGAATAAGGAGTACTTATTAAAAAGGTATAAAAGCTTAGAAGAAGTTTAAAACTAGTAGTTTATAGTAATAAAACTTCATTAAGTAAGTTCCTAGAGACTCTAGTCGAGAAATAAATAATTAGTACTAAGATAACTATAATTAGAAATAAGAGTAATATTACTAAAATTAAAAAAACTCTAGAATTTATAGCTAAGACTTAGTTTAATATAGAAATTATCTAAAAAAATATTATAGCTTCTTAAAAGGCTATTATAAAAAATATAGTAGTAAAAATATTTTAGAATCCTATATAATATAAGAAGATATACTAACTATAGATATATAGTTCCTAGATAAAAATATTAGAGCTTTAATTAAGAAAGTTAGTACTCTTAGTATAAAGATTAAGTATAGTTTTAGTTATATTATTAAGATACTTAATATAAGGAATAAAAGATATATTTAGGTATATCTATATTTCTAGAAAAAGAATAATATATAAAAAAGAAATTAACTTAATATATAGAAGTATACTATCTTAAAGGTTAATAATAACTAAACCTCTATCTATATTACTTTGAAGAAGCCTAAATTATTAATTAAAATCTTTTAAGAATCTCTAACTCCTATTAGTTATTAGAATAATAATAGTTTAATTAATTATATAAAGTAAGTAATTTAGTAGCCTATATTCTAGTCTCTATAGGAGTTTTTAATCTCTCTAGATCTATTAGTCGCTATAAGTAAGAAATATAGATAGTCGGAAGTTAAGAAATTAGAAATTAAAATAAAGGGAGACGAAGTATAAGTAAGATTTAAATTTAAGAGATTTTTATATTAAGTAGTTAGTTATAAAAGCTATTATAGTACTAAATTAAAAAAAAAATATATCTTTTCTTAATATAGTATATCTATAATATTCTTAGTAGCTACTATATTAATATCGTTATTAGTTAGTATCGGTACCCTATCGGTACTTATTAGTGTTCGCTACTATGTCTCTACGGAAGATAGTAGTGCCGCAAAACATACTTTATCCGCTATGGTTCCACACTGGTGGGGAACCAACGCCTTATGCAGCCAATCATTCACCGGCTCGCCCGCCAGGCAACCATCCTAAGCGCCTGCCTTCCCCTTTAAGAAGCCCGCCCTCCTGGCCCCCCGCGTCCTTCTGCTCTCGCTTCCTCCTTGCAACCTCATCTGCTGTCCGTCGACTGCTTCCTCCGGTTTCCATCTCCTAGAGACGAGAAGATACTCGCACTTGCTCTCTCTCCTCCGTACAAGCAGCCATATCTATTGACTTGACAATCTAATAAGCGACAGGGTTTACTAGTTCAACTTTACTACCGATAACTTCTGTGGTACACGCCTAGGTGGAGATGGCAGCGACACGTCGAAAAGCGGCTCATGATCTCGACAAAATACCTTCAGATGAAGGTGAATGGCGTGCCGCAGCACAGAAATATGGACTCCAGAGCCGTAATCTCGAGGACTTGTGTAAGAATGGTACGTCTTTTTTAGTTAACCGACTAGTTAACTAGTCGGTTAAACCGCGTTTCATCGAAATGCCAGAGCACTTAATAAAATCAGTGACGAAGTTTCCACAACATCTGTTAATTACTATTCTTATAGGGAACTTCTCAGCATCCACAGTTCCAACAGAGGCATTCCTTACACTTCGTTGCATTTGGCCTAAAAAGAAAGACCACAAGCACGCCTTGGCTTACATTTCCAACCTAGAGCACTTTTTTAGCTGGGACAACGTGGATGACGCTAAGAAATTGACGGATAACAAGCTGTTAGGACTTGATAAGCTCACCATCCTATATCAGATAATATGTCCTCCAAAACAATCCTTGCAGCGCACCCCTCCTGAGTTCTCTGGAACGCTGTCGGATGGCTTAGGCCCCTTCGCTTTGCTTATCCCCATCTACAACCAACTTCAAGACAGACGACCTCAAACCCCACCTAGCGTGTTTTACCCAGAAAATGCTCCCAGAGGACAGTTATTCTTTGATGCTTTGCAACACCATGGTCACCAGGCACCCACAAGCCCAACTCGCTACGGCGCTGCGGTGGAGGATATTACTATAGAAGATATCCAAATGACAGGCATCGACATCGGGAGCTTTAGTAGCTCCCTCCCTGAGGACGCCTCGTCTCTAGCCGAACACTCCGTAGTTAGCGTGCCAATTGACGAGCCTCCTCCCCGCACACCGACGGAGACCCTCGTCACGGATTTCGCGGTTATCCTTCTGGGGGGGTTAGCTAGTCTTGTGCAGCCCCTGGGCTATAAACCCCTGTGTATGGCGAACTCTTTCGAGACAACATACGAATTTGGCCCCCTAAACAACGTAATAAACCCACTGGATAAGGTCAAGTTTCGGGCTCGTATTGATGGTAGCATTCCATTCAGCGTTTCTCCGGGCAAGGACCTTCGTGAAGCCATTATTTTCGAAGCTAAACGAGCGCCCCGTGTTGAGGGGATAAATGAGGTCCCTGTTCTTGCACAACAGTCAATGGAACATGCAGCTTACATTTGGAACCGTCACAAGGAGGACACAACGGTATATTCCTCCTGCAGCCGTGCTACTGCCTCTTAAGAATTCACTGCTAATAAAAGATCTATTTTAGTGGAGAAACTCTGCGCAGACATACCATAGTTTTATGGTAGCCCAGGACCACCTCAGCTTCCACATCAGCATTGGGACGTATGATCACAGATATCTTGACTACATCTTTGCATCAAATAGTCGAAGAGTTATCCCAGTCCAAGGGAACATCCCATTTCTCCAAATCCAGGAGCTTGGGCCATTTGATACGGAAGATAATGATCATTTGGCCCGATTTCTACAGATAATTCTGTCGTTTATTCTTTCTCAGCTAGAAAAAACGCCAGCAGCAGCTATCTTCAAAAACGCCCTTCGCTAAGCGTGGCCCCCGGTAACTAGTTATCGAATTCCATGTGAAACAATTTACCAAAATCTCCATTCGGCTCAATTGATTGGATTCTCAAACAAATCAGAAGTATCGGGGTGCGAGGCACGCCTTATTCTTTTTGGTAAACTCGTAAATAGCTATTTTTGACCGGTGGTTCATGCTTTATCAACAGTTAACTTTGTTAACTAGGCAGTTCACTGGAGTTACCTGTTAACTTGGTATTAAGGTTTAACTAACTAGTCAGCCAAGACATTGACGGCTCAAACCTTCTTGTAAATATATTGTGGGCGTAGTGAGGTCTCGATGTGATTCTATAGATGTCATTTATCGTAATGCTAATGTACAAGGACAATATCCAGTAGTAACCAAACCCATATGAGCTGAGATCAAGCTGCATATCTAGGTTAAGCAGGCCCTTTCCTATTTTTTTTTTCCCTTTTCGTCTCCTTGAAGGGAATAATTCCACCTGTCCGCTGTCTATTACCCACAAAGGAATGGCCTTGATGAAAACGAATAGAAAAAAAATAATAATAAATTCAACACGAGAGTAACTCCGACCGATGCGTAAGGACCAAGACGGGGGGGATCGCGGTAGAGGGGAGGATGAATATAAATATCACAGGGTATGTAAATGGAAACAGGGGCTTCTATATAGGTAATTCAATGCGTATGGGGGGGAAAAGGGTTAGTCTTCATCTTCCCGAGTCGTCTTGTCGGCCTTCTCCGGTTCGCTAAGCTCTTTGGTCCAAAGCTGGTTAATAGCGTGTCGGTCAACACTACCAAACACTATATCGAATACTTCTGAGTACCAGCTGGCAGCGTGACCTTCTATTCCCTCCTTGATGTTCTAATTGACAACGCGTAAAGTTAGTCAAGGTTCAAAAAATAATCATCCATCGTAAAGGAACATACCTGAGGGAGTTCTAGCCAATCAGACATATTGTCTGCTGGGAATATAATAGTTTTAGCTCCTGCCCGACGAGCAGCCACGGTCTTCTCACGGAGACCGCCTATCCGCAAGACCTTCCCGGTCACAGTAAGTTCACCGGTCATGGCAATAGTAGGATCAACGGGCCTGTTAAGGGCAAGCGAAAGAAGAGCAGTTGCCATGGTAATACCAGCAGAAGGACCTATAAAAGATATCAGCAGCTGCTAGAAACGGACAGCATAGAGAAAAACAGATCTGGGACGTACCATCTTTCTGAACAGCGCCCTCGGGGCAATGCAAATGAAGCCTCGCCTTGTCAAAAAATCTATTATCTGGGAACTCTTTCGCCATAAGAGATTTCGCGAAAGAGTATGCAATCACCGTAGATTCCTTCATGACGCTCATCAAGTTACCAGTTTGTTCAAAGCCGGGTCGGGATGTTGATGTTAGCGCAGATTGCAAAATCGATTCCACGTATAATGCAGCACCGCCCATGCTTGTCCATGCCAGTCCCATTGCAACACCTGGAGGAGTGGTATCATAGAGTCTATCCGAAGTGAAAACAGGTGGTCCAACGTAATCCTTCAGGTTGTCCTTCCCAATGGAGACGTGGACATCTGGTGGAACTTGAACAGCTTCTAGCCTTGGAGCCTCCCGGGGTTGCTCAGTAGACTCCGTTGCAGCATCCGCTTCCCGCTTCGCAGCATTTTCTTGTTCTGCCCGCACTTCTTCTCTAACTTTACTTTCCTCTGAAGGTTCTTCTTCTGGTAGACGTTGGATAATTTTCAATGCCGCTTTCCTGTATACTTTCTCAATCTGCTTCTTGAGATTGCGCACACCACTTTCACGGCAGTATGATTTTATTAGCTCCTCAATGCCTTCCTTTTCAAGGATCACATCCACGTCCTTTAAACCGCTGACCTCTTTGGCTGCCGGGGCAAGGTATCGCTCTGCAATGGCCATCTTCTCATCGGCAACATAGCCGGAGAGTTCAATCAGCTCCATTCGGTCTAGCAAGGGACGTGGAATGGTGTCTGTCATGTTGGCAGTACAAACGAAAAGAACCTTAGAGAGATCCACGGGAATATCCATATAGTGATCGAGGAAAGATGAATTTTGTTCCGGGTCAAGCAGCTCGAGCAGCGCTGATGCTGGGTCTCCCTGGTGTCCTCTTCCGATTTTATCGACTTCATCAATGAGTATCAGGGGGTTTTCTGTTTGACATTTTTTGAGAGCTTGGATAATCCGACCGGGAAGAGCTCCAACGTAGGTCCTACGGTGGCCCTTGATCTCAGCCACATCAGTCAAGCCACCAACACTGAATCGATAGTATTCTCGGTTCAGGGCTCGAGCTATTGACTTTCCAATACTCGTCTTTCCAACACCAGGGGGCCCAACAAAACAAAGGATTTTTCCTTCGACTGTTCCGCGCAATTTTCCGACAGCAATGAATTCGAGAATTCGGTCTTTGACGTCCTTTAGCCCATAATGGTCTTCGTCCAGGACTTTCATGGCATTCTTAATACCGAAATTCTCCTCGCTTCGTTTCCCCCATGGTATCTGTGTTATCCAGTCTAGATAGTTTCTGGTGACATTAAACTCTGACGCAGCAGGTTCCAGGTGTGCGAGTTTATTCAACTCTTCATCAAACACTTTCCGCACAACATCAGGCATGGCGAGCTTCTCGGCTTTCTCCTTGAACTTCTCCACAAGCTTGTCCTTCCCATCAGACTCGATACCAAGTTCCCGCCGAATACCTTTCATTTGCTCCATTAGCCAGTATTCCCGTTGGCGTTTTTGTATCTTGGCTTCGACATCCTTTGAGATCTTAGACTGAAGTTGGGCGTTCATCAATTCTTTTTTCAAAACAACCAAAGCTTTGGACAGGCGCTCCTCGACATTCATCGTTTCTAGGACGTCCTGTAACTCTTTAATTTCACCAGCAGAAACGGCAGCGGCGAAGTCCGCTAGTTTAGCAGGCTCTTCTATCACATTTCCAGCCGACTGACTCATGGAAAAGGTCGAGATTTGATCGCGAAATAGGGGGTTTAGGTTTGCAACGTCCTTGAATACGTTGACTATCTCACTAGTCACCGCACGTATGACTGGACTCTTTTTGTCCATGGGCTCTTCGACCAGGTTGTCCACATTTACTATGCTCACAGGATATTTTCGCAAGAAGGCCGATGGTTCATATAGGGCTGTTTCCTTTGTAGCTTGCTCAGCAGCTCCCTCTTCAAAACTTGCCACAACGTCGCCTTGCTTCTCGGCTGATGAGTCTTTCGATGCTTCCTGGCTACCAGCCTCTTTCACTAAGCTATCACGAGACGGGAGAATAGAGGTCATCTTAATCCTTCGGTGGGGATACAAGACAGCTGTAAGGCCACTCTCATCTCCGTGGACGGGGAAAGCACTCGTAATTTGTGCAAATACACCAACATCATGAACCTCGTCTATGTTGTCAATGACGTCCTTATCCGCTGCTTCATCCTTGAACAAGAAAGCTCCCACGTAGGGTTGCCCTCGCTTCATCATCTCTTGTATGGCAGCCACAACGTTCGGATCTTTGATCGTGATGGCTTTATAAAATCCGGGAAACAGAGGTCGTCGAGCAATCGGGATCGCCATCACTTGAGGATATACATCCGGTATAGTTGGCTTCTGGAGAGCCTTTTCAGAAGAGCCCTTTCTTCCTCTCCTTCCTCCATCACTGCCTCCGCTACCCGAGCTACCTCCAGCTCCAGCTCCAGCTCCAGCTCCCTGGCTTGGTCTCGAGTCCGACTTGCCTTCTGAAGGCGGGATTGGGCTCGGTTCATCTGACTTATTCTTCCCTTCTGTCGGTTCCTCCGGCTTAATCTTCTCTTCGCGCTCAGTTTCCGCCTCGTCTTTCTTCGGTTGCGGTGGAGAAGGCTTCTCTTTTCGCCGGGCTGGAGTCGAGGAGAGGCCGCGCGATAGTTGTAGCCGGGAAGCTTGAATATCTGAATGCGAGAATGCGATCTGTCTGAACCGAGGATTGTAAGCCCTGTATCGGATATCCTGGGAGCTCCGGCGAAGGGCTGCTCTCAATGGAAGGCTCATGCCCCGAAACATCCTCTCAGCAACGTCGTCTAAGCGAAAGAAGAGAAAGAGACCGAGCTGTTAACGAACGATGGCCAAATTAAATATAATACAAGCAGTAATAAACAACACTCCGCACAGCCCGTCAAAGACCGCCAATTCCCCAAGCTGACGAGAAAAAAGTGAACAAGATAGAAGCAAGACCAAAATGCTCGAGATTTGCCCGGTAGGTTGGCTCGTTTTCGTCTGATTAGTCATCAAAGCTGGAGAAAATATTTTGCCGAAGTCCCGAGAAACTTTTTTTTTTTCTTGAACCTTCGAAGGGAAGACGCATACGACGAAGAAAACGCAGAAGACGCAGGAACAGCTTCTCTTCTCAGTGGTATATACAATTGATATAGCTGATCTCTCTTATAAATCGCTTCTCTATGAGTATCCCTGCTCCTGGGCTGCCGCTTGCAGCCTCAGTTCCCTGCCGTTTGCTGCGGACATCGCGCCCATACAGAAGTCAATGTCTGGACATCAACCGTCATGTACAGTCACGACCCTACCAGACGGATTCCAAGGTGCGGAATAACCAGAGGCCTGCTATTAGATCGAAGAATACGCAGTCATTGAACCAATCAACAAGAGTAAGCTAGTGTTATTCCACAAGGTGAAAGGGGAAACCGAGCTGACAAAGTTCTATAGAAATTTCATGCGACGGCTCCCGCTTCAGCAGCGAAAAACCCTTACAGCGTTCTGGGAGTTGGGAAGGATGCATCGGCCTCGGAAATTAAACGAGCATACTATGGGCTGGCAAAGAAGTTCCACCCCGATACAAACAAAGATCCCGGCGCCAAAGACAAATTTGCCGAAGCCCAAACCGCCTACGAGACACTATCTGACCCTGAGAAGAAAAAGGCCTATGATACGTACGGGTCTGCTGCATTCGATCAGAATGGCGGGTTCAACCCTGGCGCTGCTAGTGGTGGGCCATTTGGAGGGGCGGGAGGCTTCCATGGCTTTGGCGGCTTCGGAAGCGGTGGCGGCTTTGGAGGAGGTTTCACTGCGGATATAAATTTCGACGACATCTTTGGTGCCTTTGCTAAAGCTACTGGCCGCAACCCACGCGGGCACGGATCACCTTTCTCCAGCGTTGCGGTTGGAGACGACATCGAGGTTCAGGCGAATATCTCGTTCATGGAGTCAGCCAAGGGAACGACCAAGGAAATTAACATCACACCGTTGGTTACATGCAATTCATGCAAGGGAGAAGGATTGAAAGATGGTAAGAAACGATCACGCTGTAGCACTTGTGGAGGCACTGGTGCACAGATCCATGTCATCCAGGGCTTCCAGATGCAGAGCACATGTGGAGCGTGCAATGGAACCGGGTCCTCGATACCCAGGGGGTCTGAATGCAACACATGTAGCGGAGGAGGTGTTGTTCGAGAACGAAGAACCGTCAAAGTTGATATTCCCGGTGGTGTCGAGGATGGGATGAGGCTGCGGGTTAATGGTGAAGGCGATGCCCCGATGGCAGAGCCAGGAACTCGAACGCAGCGAGGAAACCTCTATGTCTTCATCAGGGTTGCCGCTGACCGCAGATTCAACCGTTCCGGGTCGGATGTACTATATACTGCCGCCATACCTCTCACAACCGCCCTACTTGGAGGCGAAGTCACGGTTCCGACACTGGACGGGGAAGCTAAAGTTAGAGTTGGCACCGGAACGGGAACTGGTGATAAGATTACCTTGCCTGGGATGGGTATGCGGAAGCTTGGTGGGCGGAGAGCAGGTAATGGTGACTTGAAGGTAGAATTCAAGGTCACCATGCCGAGATCATTGACTCCCAACCAGCGAACAATCCTTGAAGTACTTGCAGACGAGATGGGAGACAAGACTGCGAAACGAATTATGAATGTCAACAACATGAAGCCTGATGGGTAAGAAAGCCAGCTATGTGCGTCTCTGTCATTCAAACCAAGCTAACGTGTTTCTCAGTTCTTCGAACAAGACTTCTACCGACAAGGCAGATAACACACAAAAGGGTCAGGGGTTCATCAAGTCCGCCTGGGACAAGCTGATGAACCATCGCAACCCATGTTCCAGCTCAAGCAAAGGGTCCTCAGACTCTGCTGATAAAAAGGGGCCCGAGACACAGTCGGATCAGCACAAGGAGTCCGACCAGCCTAATGAGTCCAAAAAGGCATCAGGATCTGGCTAATTGATAGACGACTGCGTTACCGTCTGCAGCCCTTTTGTCCGATTTGATTTTCCATCTCTTTCTCATACATAGCGTTGGGCGAGGTGTACCTTTTTGCATAACCTGATTTTAACTCCTTTTTCCCTTTCCTGTACATTATGTTTTCTATATAAACACCCCCCGACCACCCTATAACAAAACTCATTTGAACGGGCATCTTACAAGTGATTCCGCCGGCTTGTTTCTCGTCTTTTTGTTTTTTGCACTCTTCACTCTTCATTCTCGATGGACGTTACTCTTTCATCTTGTTGTCACCCTCTACTACTACTTAGATCTCACTTTACACCTTACGGCCTATGCTTTGCCTTGAAGACTCTCTAGCCTCTCAGTCCACAAAATGGTCTGTCTTCTGGGCTATCTAGGGACAATCAGAATCCGGGGAGTGCCAGGCTGTGGTGCAGAGTAGGCGCAAGTATGGTGAGTGTCATCTTTCATCATGACTATGTGGGATGTAACTAACACGTCTCCTCAGATTTTACTGCGTCTACCATCTTCAATGAAAGAAGATCTCAACCTCTACGGTCGAGCTGACGAATTTGACTTGCCCACAGCCCTTACCCAGCAAGCCGTGAGAAGACGGATGCATCCCCTGGGCTAGTCCGGACATCACCACGCCAGAAGCCGCTTAAAACGAGAGAAGCATCACTTTGGATATACATACTTATTCACACGTCTGGCTACCGTCTCGTAGCCGCCGAGACAGCGAGTAACTAGCAGCCGTCGATCCATGCTCTGGCCAGGCCTGAGATCCTCGGCCAGCATTATAACCCTCTAGACACGGCGGGCAAACTAACTGTGGGATCACCAACAAGCACCGATTCTACGACTATGGCTTCTTGCTGGACCGTCAGCACCCCCGACAGCGAGGAAGTTCGTCTGCTGTTGAGTTCTTCGAGGAGCGAGATGATGTATGTATCTATGTTTCCAAGCACTTTTAACCATCTATTTCACCGGGGAGTCTAGTCCTTTCTGGAGAGGACATGGAATATGCTGTATGATAGTGATAGCTCTTATCCCATCTCCCCTCGTCCGCTGTGTGCCTGTTCTTCCTCCAGACAAGTATAATATATCAATGTAACTGCATCTATATGTACTCCGTCCATCTAGGCTTTCTGATGCTCTGCCAGGCTGAAACAGCCCTCCAGCCAATCTGTGACGGCAGCGCAGCATCTCAGGCCTACCGAGCGGATGCCATACTTTCAGCAGCAAGGATCCCGCTGTGATAGTGGCGCCAGTAGAGTGTGAAGGCCAGGATCTCTCGAGAGTCGCGATGGAGACTCCAGAGCAGTCGCGGCAGCGGTCCGCTGGCGATAACCAGTCCAGCCTGCGCATCATGCGAATGGCATCAGTAGCATCCTGAGATCCCGCCAGGCCATCCAGCAGAAGAGAGAAGAAGAAGAAAAAGAAACGAGCCGAAGTTCTTCAGGCAGCTCGATTCTTCGTTGCCGCCGTCTCCATGATAGGCTCGCCGGTCGACGTGCATCCATCCTTCTTGCAACTTCTTCCATGCACCATCGCCATCATCGCCCTCACACATATAACTAGTTAACTCTCTGACTGACTGACTGACTGACTGACGCCGGCAAGGTCGCTACCAGCACGCCGTCTGCATCGCTCTTCCGCCAGGACGCCCGCCAGCCCATCAGGCAGGCATCACGACCCGCCAGCGCATGCCCGCCCGCCGCTGACCAGACCCAGGCCCTTGGTTATTAGTTATCTCTTCGGTGACGACACCAGCTAGTTAACTAGTTAGTGACATCGCTCCCCCACATCCTCCGCCGAGGGCGCCCGCACTACGAGCCCAACGCAGCCAGCAGAGAACCCCGTCGCATCGTCGTGCACGATACTCGAGCTGCTCGACAACTGTCGCGGTGCATAGGCTTCGTCTAGGAGCAGGTCTGTCGTCCGCTGGGGGGAGAGAGTGCTGCCTCCTGCGGCCGCCAAATCCGCCACGATGGTGCAGTCTCCCATGATATCGTGTCCTCTCAAGCAAACGGCCGAGATAGACTGGATCGCTCCGCTCAAGGGATATATCAGGCAGACCTACGGTGATGACCCGGATCGGTACTCGGAGGAGTGCGCGACTTTGAACAGGCTGCGGCAGGACATGAGAGGCGCCGGCAAGGACAGCGCTTCTGGGAGAGACCTGCTCTACCGGTACTACGGGCAGCTAGAGCTGCTGGATCTCCGTTTTCCCGTTGACGAGAATCATATCAAGATATCTTTTACCTGGTATGGCTTCCTTGGTTTTTTTGAATTTTTTTTTTTTTTTTTGGACTATATTATTTTCATTTCTACCAAGACCTGTATATGGCTGACCGGGTGTTGAATTGCAATCTAGGTACGATGCCTTCACACACAAGGCAACCTCGCAGTACTCCCTGGCCTACGAGAAGGCCTCCATCATATTCAACATCTCCGCCGTCCTATCCTGCCATGCTGCCAACCAAAACCGTGCCGAGGACACTGGGCTCAAGACCGCATACCACTCATTCCAGGCCTCTGCTGGCATGTTCACCTACATCAATGACAACTTCCTGCATGCTCCTTCGACCGATTTGAGCCGGGATACGGTTAAGACGATGATATCCATCACCCTTGCTCAGGCACAGGAAGTATTTTTAGAGAAACAGATCGCTGACGGGAAGAAGCCGGGCTTCCTAGCCAAACTAGCCAGCCATGCTGCTCATCTGTTCACCCAGGCTGCCGAAGGTGTGCAGGAAAACGTTACCAAAGGCATATTTGAGAAAGTATGGTGGATTTTGACTTCTGCAAAGGCGTCACATATGTCCTCCCTAGCTTGCTACTACCAGGCCATGGCTGACGAGGAGGGTGGAATGCATGGAGTGGCCATTGCAAGGCTACAGATAGCTGAGAAGGCTTCAACGGCCGCAATCAACATGGCAAAGTCGTTCCCGTCATCCGTACCCTCTGGCTCTAATCTTACGTCTGAAAACGGAATGGTGCTGTTGGACATGGTACGACGGCAGCTGGCTACCGTTCAGGAAAAACTGCCTTCAATGAGGAAAGATAACGATTTCATCTATCACCAGCAAGTTCCAGCGGAGGCATCAGTCTCCCCTGTTGCGAAGCTCCCCGCTGCAAAGGCTATACCCGTTAGTGAACTGTACCAAGGCCAGGATATCCAGCGGATAATTGGACCGGACATATTCCAACGAATAGTTCCAATGTCTGTTACCGAGTCCGCAAGTTTGTACGACGAAGAGAAGGCTAAGCTTGTCCGGGCCGAGACAGAAAAGGTTGAAGCAGCCAACGGAGAAATGGCTGCCAGTCTAGACTACTTGAAACTACCTGGTAGCTTAAATATACTCAAGGGGGGGCTGGACGACCAGTTGACTGCGGATGAAGAGTTCAGAACTTGGTGTGAAGAAGTCTCTTGTCAAGAGCCGTTCAGAGGTACTCTTGAGGATCTACAGGATGATAAGTCCTCGTTGCTTTCCACTCTGGAGCAGTGTACCAAACAGCTAGACACCGAGGAGAGCGTGTGCGAGAAAATGCGCTCCAAATACGGCGCGGACTGGACGCAGCAGCCAAGTTCGCGCCTTACATCGACCCTGCGATCAGATATTAGAAGCTACCGTGAGACCATTGATGAAGCCAGTTCGAGTGACTCCCAGCTCCTGGTTACTCTGCGGCAACATGAGTCCGACTTTGAGGAAATGCGTGCAGCTGGAGAGGCCGGTGAGGCAGACATTCTCTTCCAGAAGGCGCTCATTGCAGCTGGCTCGAAGCCAGGGAAAAATGGAGCCACCCCAGGAAGCCCGTATAGCAACAGAGCACCAGAGGGAAACCTTTTGGAGGCAGATTATGGGGAAGGAGGCTTATCTGTCGCAGAACAGATTGCAAAAGTTGAAGAACTGCTTCGGAAATTGAACCTCGTCAAGAGGGACAGGATGCAGACTTTGAAGGATCTGAAAGAGAAGGTGAGTAGTCTATCAATCGGAGTAGTTATTTTTGCTATAATGAACATCATTTAACAGCATCAACAGGTTCACAATGACGATATCTCCAATGTTCTTATTCTCAACAAGAAGGCAATCGCAAACCAAGAAGACCAGCTCTTCCAAACAGAGTTGGAAAAGTTCAGACCTCATCAAAACCGGCTGCTCCAGGCAAATCACAAACAAAGTGGCCTTATGAAGGAGCTAGCCAAGGTATACGGAGATCTGTTACAGGACAAGCGGGTGAGGGCGGAGAAGTCAAAGTACGAAGTCCTCACCAAGCAGCGCAACACGGTTATATCCAAGTACAGAAAAGCCCATAAAGCGTTTAACGAACTTCTCAACGGCTTAAGCCAGGCACAAGCATTCTACATGCAGATGCGGGACACAATCGACAACCTGCAGCAGAACGTCGAGACCTTCCTCAACAACCGGCGGTCCGAGGGAGCCCAGCTGCTCAGCCAAATCGAGCGGGATAAAGCTGCCCAAGCATCGGGCCATGAAGAACGTGAACGAGACAAGCTGAAGAACCTGATGGAGCGGCTGTCAGTCGACCCAGCGTCTTCGTCATCTACTCCACCACCTCCTGCACCCAAACGGGCAACTAACACAGCGAAATCACCTACCCACTCTGGCCTGCCACCACAGCAACCTCCAACCCGATCCCCTATCACTGCCCAATATCCCCCCTCCACTTCAACCGGTTACCCACCCGTTGCCTACCCAAGCGGCAATGGTATCTCACCCACCGAAGGCTACGGCTCCCAACAGCCGTACACCCAGCACATGAACCCAGAAGCATACAACCCGATGGCCTACCTATATCAACAACCACCGACTTCACCTCCTCCGCTGCAACAGTATTATGCCAGCCCACCCTCGTATGGTGGCTATCCAGGTTCACCACCCATACCTCAACCCCAGATCCCACCAAGCCATACCCCTCAATATCTACCGCAGGGCTACGTGCCTCCGCCGCCGCCACCACGCCACTCCCCAGTACAATATAACTCACCTGGCCAGGGGCAAGGGGGCTATCAGCAACCCACCAGTAACTATCCTCCCAGCCAGCCATCCCATCGCGCAAACCAGCCTTCCCAGTCCCAAAATCAAAATGATCCGTGGGCAGGACTGAATGCATGGAAGTAAGAGTGCAGTGCAAAGCAAGTAGTGGCGCGAAAACACGAATTGAATGAAAAATAACCAAGAAAAAAAAAAGGGCTAAGACAGAATATATGGAATCCAGGCTCGGGCCACCCAGAGAATCAACCTGGGAAAATGGACGGAGTAAGGTCTATTTTTTTAGGATTGAATTACACCTTCTTGCTACTTATATACTTCTCCTATATAAAATTTTTTCTGCATCTATCCATCTCGAAATAGCATTCCGTTTAAAGTCGATATATTTTCGTCTTACGTTTATATAAAAGGGAGAGAGGCAGTAGACGGGAGATATAGAATCACGCAATGACAAGTTCGTTTCCTGCCTTTTTGTATATTTTATTTTTCTGTCCATCGAATGAGACCGTGAAATACAATTATTCTTCAAATTCTCTAGTTTATGCTATACAGGTGGAGGAGCAAATCTTTCGCTTGCAAGGGTATCTATCAAGTAGGTAACAAATATATGAGACGGAAGCAAATGAACCGAACGCCGTGATGTAGGAGAGAGCCAAGGAAAGGTAAACAAAAATAGGTAACAAGAGAAGCCGAGGTAGAAAAGTTGAGTCGTGGCTCGTTCTAGGGCTGGAACCGAAGCCGGAACTCCTTCCCCCTCCTCTCCTCGTTGACCTTATACAGAAACCGAGCAATGGCATCCTGCTCCGAAATAGCTGTGTTGTTGAAGTGTTTCCGCACCGCAGACGCAAGCTGGGCCTTCGACACTCGTCCCTGTGCCGGAGCCGAGAGACGATGAAGCACCTTGTCCTGCCGTCCCGTATTGTTAGAAGCTTCCTGTCTTAATTTGACGTCCATATCTGTATCGATCTGCATGCTGTCATCGTGTTGTTGTCGGTCAGACTGTAACTGCTGCAGCAACTGTTTGCGCCTGATGGAAATGGCTGTTGCAGAACCAAGGCCGGGCCCCTGTGAGAGGAGGATGGAGTTTATCTGTGAGGAGAACGCGCTGGGACAGGGGAGGTTGTATGCGTAGCGGTATTCGTGGAGGACGGACAAGGGCATGGTGCTCCAGTTTATCTGTTATTTTGCTGCGGTTAGAACTTGTTCCATGAGAGTCTGGATGGATGGTGGGATCCAAAAGATGGACGTACAGAGGCCTGGGACTCGACGGTGCCGCTCTCGTCCATGCGTTGATCTGCAGCAGGGGCCTTGCCTTCTTTCAACGTTGCATTCGAGCCCGTGCTGGGAGCAGAGGTGTTCGCTGCGGCAGACGAGGTGGTGGCTGCTGCGGGTTTGCGGCCCTTGGTGGTGCCCTGGCGCTCGCGCGTGCTGGACGCTTCTGACCGCGAGTCGTCTGGGACAGCACCAGCGGCGGCGGCGGAGGTAGAAGCAGCAGCTGCACCAGCAGAGGCAGCACCAGCACCAGCCGAGGTAGCAGTCGTGGACACGGGACGCTGGCGGGGAGGAGCCATGAGGGTTAAGGGGGATTTCGAACAAGACCGCGGATTGCGGTATTTACAGAGAGCGGGAGAAGGGGGACTCTGCAGGGGTCACGGTCGAGCGAGGGCTGGCGTGGTAATTGGAGCGTAGGGAGCGAAGAGACGGAGGGCTAGCGAGAGGCAGAGGCGCAGAAGCAAGCATGTCCGGCAAAAGCTGGCTGTCGAGATGTCAAAAGCCGGCGTCGCTGTCGACGGTTTTCTTTCAGTCTTTTTTTTTTTGTCTTTTTTCCGTTTTATTTAAGGTTTCGATGACGATTTGACTTTCGGATTCGCGTGGGGTGATTAGTAAGCTTACTAATAAACGCTGTGCCAAAGTTTTGTTCAAAATGATATTTTCCGCCTCCTGCATTTATCTCTCTACGAGTTAATTACGGATGCCTAGTGACCCTCATTGCGAGTGAAGCTGCACCGTTCAAGCCTGACATGGCATCATGCTGTGGATTTCGGCTGCGTTATTTGTATGCCAATGGTCTCATAATTGAGAATGATCGCCGTGGCTGGTCTAAAGTTGTGTTGAGACGGCTTAACACGGCTGCCATCCAGCCTTCTCGTGAGGATTGGTTAAAATATAGTGACCATTAAGCCACAGGCATCAGCCATAACTAATGAGCAGAGGTTTGTCATTCGCCACGGCAAGATCTACCTTAGCTATTCAGTTGTGAGTTCGATAGTTAGCTCTCCAAGTAGACCAGCAGATATGGGGTATCATGACTGAAAAAGCAGTCGAAGTAGCGGAATTGGGAAAGGATTCTCTCAGCAGCAAGATATAAAAATGGCCTGGTTATCACCATGATCATGATGCTGGATCCTAAGTGCTATTCCTCCAAAAACTATATATACCTATTTTCCAACTGAACCGATTCAATATGAAATTTCTAATCATCCTCGCGACTCTTCTTGCTGTCGTACAAGCGAGTTTTCCGAAGGAGTTCTTTCAGCAAATTAAATGCGCGGCCCCGTGTGTACTTCGCAGTTTCAAAAAAATACCTTGCGGTGGGAAGACTGTTCTCTTGACCATCTGTGACAATGTCGACCGTATAGAAAACACGGCAGCAAAGTGTATTGTTCAGAAGAACTGTAATATTGACAGAGGGTTGCGTAAGTTCCCCTCCCTGAATCGAATATGACATCATATTAGTGAATTAACCGTGATTTGTAGTCACGCTGGTGGCCAAAAAGTTTAAGGAAACGTGTCCGAATGAGGATGGAAATGAGAGTGGAAATGAGAGTGGTTGAGGGGGACTATAGGTATAGTCTGGAACTGCGATCACCGCAAGGGAGCAAGCTTTTCGATGCGAGATTTAGTGCTGTGTGGCTGTTTGGAGATGCTATGTGTAATGCCAGATATGGAGGAATAAAAGACCAGGAACTGATCACTTGTCTGTCTATTTGTCAATTACTTTGATAACCGCCCAATTGCTCGGATGCCACCCTCCAATTCATCTGCTTACCCATATACCACCCAACATACCTCTAAGCAGCGGACAGCCAACCTTGGCAAGGATATTTACTATACGCCCTTTCATTATGATATCGATTTCATGAGTGCCCCGGCCCCCGCAGGGCTATAGTGAGTTCTTAAGGTTAAATGATGGACAAGTCGCCAGCGAAGGGTTTAAGTTAATTCTCCCCTTCCCGCTGCAAGCGGTTAGCCAATAATATAACTTATTTTTACTTAATAATAGAATTATCTAGTTAAACTCCCACCTCTCTGCGTGTTTATTATGTAACTTTGATTCTACTCACGATGACTACCATTCACTGAGCTATTCACTAGGCACCGCGGCAACGAAGGTACTTTTAATATTCAAACGGCTGTTGGTAAGAATAAGAATAACAATCAATAACGGGATGGTACAAGCTGGTTGTCTACTGATTATGCTTTTTCAATGCTCGGTTCTGGGGCCACACAATTGCTTTCAACGATTGCTTTCAACGTACTCCCTGATCTGTTCGCACAGGCGCGCATGCTTTAGAAACTCGCTCTCTGGGATGAGATAGGGGTAGTACGTCAAGTTCATGCATCTATTGCAAAAAAAGCCCCAATCAACCGTCCCATCCGGTAGCAGGTACGGTAGTCGTATGGATGACATATTGCAGTAGCCGTTGCTCGGCTCACTCAGCCATACTGGATAGCCCGTAGGCGGGATGCGGGACTCATGTCTAGGCTGTTCTGGTACGACGTCGTTTCGCCTCTCGGGGCCGAATTTACAGTAACAGGATTGAACCAGAGGGAGAGGAGTAGGACTCCCACATTCTCTCCCGAGGCATGTGATAAAGTCGAAGACCAAAAGGGTGCCGTGGCGCTTTACAACCTTCACTGCCTCCCTGAGAGATATCAGGCGCAGACCTTCAGCTGGCTCCACACGATTAGAAGAGTGTCTGGCTGGGATGGCATTCATCACAACTAGATCTGTCCTCCCGTGGAAGGGAAAACAAAGTTCCTGCTCCATATTGTCAATGGGAAGTGCCCAAAAGTTCTGGTTCATTTCCAAGCACGCAATGCAGCATCTCTCGCCCGTTAGAAGGAACATGTATCCACCAAACTCTCCGCATTCGGGGCAGTCGCGGGTGCGTAGAGTCTTATAGAGTTTCTGCACCGTGTATTCGCTTTGGAGACCAGCTCGGCGAATCGCTTCAAGGGTATACGGTACGTGCTTTACAATAGCATGATACTGCGGCAAATCGTTGACAGTAATGTTTCCGCCCCTAGATACGCAGAGCAGAGCAGATAGCGACTTGAGGTCGAGTCTATATAGGATCTCATGGAGAAGCTCTAGGGGTAGTCGATCAAGGGTGCCTATAGATAGTTTATCGGGGCGGTACTCGAGAGTAAAGTATTTTGGGTTGCGAAAGTTGATACGGCATTCGTCTAGCTCACGGGTAGCAAACTTCCTGAGAAGGTACTCATCTGACGCATTCACGGTCATGATGACTACATGAATCTTCTCACGGGGTATAATATAGACGATATTGATGGCTGATGTGATAAATTCGAATATGAAAAGCAATAAAAATAGAAAATAAAAACGAGCTGAGGAAGAAGTCTCAAAGTAAACAAAAAGTAAGGTTTTGAGCCTCCATTTAGAGTTCGTACCGCCATCCCGTTCAGCCCTATACGAGGAAAGCGCGATGTGTTAATCACACACACCTTCCTCGAAAGTGTTGAACTCATTTGCACTTTCCTCGTCCGGCATGTTTGTGGCTTTCATCCCATCTTGGAAGGCACTACTCCATACGTGCCTTCCTTTTGTTGCCAGAACAGGACTTTACAGACTCATAGATCTCGTCCATGAGTAGTATTTTTTGAGTCGGGAAGAGCTTAGTTAACTGGATATAGAGCTGCCCTCTATTAAACATGTTGAAACATTTGAGAGGCAGGCCAGCAACACTGGAGGCCTGAAAAAAAAAGGGGGAGGGGGGGGGGGGGGGGGGGGGGGGGTATCTTGGAAGGGAGGCAAAGCTATAGCCACTCTATAACTGAACTCTCTGTTGAGCTGAAATTGGGTCGTCGACGCTGATTATTCCTGTTCTGTGTCGAGATAAGAGATAGATATGCACAGGGCCATAACTAGATAACTAGATAAGCAGTCAATGGCTAGGCAAGGCACAGCCGCCAGGTTCCGGTTTGTCCACGAAAACCTGCTTCCCCCCAATATGGCATTGGGAAGCAGAACGAGGCGAACTTCGATGACTCTGGGCAACTTCCAAGAGATGTAGAAGTCAAGTTCTTATCTTGATGTATAACATTCTCAAAAAAAAAAAGCATACCGGGATAAAAGCGCTGAGATTGGTGGAGATCAGGTGGGCCAGGCAACGAGTTACCAAAAGTAGCAATCCAGGGGAAAGACGACCCTTTTCTTGTCGCAGAAAATGCCAAAAAAGAATAAAACAGCATGCGCGCTCAGACTCAGATGCATATCTTGTAAGAAAGCTGCAGCGGTGCAGTGCAGTGTAGTGCAGCGCAGCGCAGCGCAACGCAGTTCAGTTCACCAAGAACGCCTAATGAGGGAGGGAGGCCAAGTCCGGATGCAAGTACTGTTTTTTTTTTTCCCAGCCAGTCTCCCCGCCCGTCCGTCATGCATGCATGTAGTTACAACTCGTTTCAGACAGCTCTGATATGCAGGTTGAGTGTCAGCGATGCAACTAGTTAGTTGGTAGGCTGCTGCGTACGGAGTACTGGCTGCATTAGTTACCCAGAGAGCAACCCGAGCGAGCGGAGGGGAAAAGAAGGAAAGCGGGAAACGGTGATGCGATGGATGCGTCAGCGTCAACGTCCACGTCAAAACATAAAAAAAAAAAAAAAAAGAAAGCCAACTGCTTTTCCGATGTGGTGGTTAGAGATACTAGTATCAGGGAAGAGAACGTGGATGGAGGTATCCGGGGAGGAGGATAGTTAGTGTTTGTGCAACCATTCGCTGCCAGGCTTGCACTGGACTGGTGGAGGATCACATGAAATGTACATACATACTCTGTGCCTAAACGCATCACTGTTAATGTTGGTTGAATAGGCTTGAATGTAGCATCTGAAGAAAGACATGGTGAAGATGCGATGTCGAGTCGAGGCCGGAGTCTAGCCCTGCTGAGGAATCAGAAGAGTGTATGTGTGCGTGTGAGAGTGAGGGAGATAGGGAGAGTCTGGTATCTGGTTAAGGATGCAGGTACCTCGCCTGTTGAATATCCAGGAATATGCCAAGTTCCACAGGGCCAGTCGACCAACGTCCAGACCGGGCGGCCAGCTGGCCTGAGTTAGGTGTTGACTCGGAGAAGAGAAGGCTAGGTACCCTCAACCAGCTGACGAAGTGAATACCTATCCTGACAGTTTGGAGGAGTGAGCTTCAAAAAAGTTGATAAGTTGAGCACACAGTATAACTAGTAAGCCGAAGACGAAGACGAAGACGAAGATCCACCGCGGCTCTATCGACAGCCCGCGGGAGAGGGGATGCCATATGCCAGTCCCATCCAGTCCCAGCCGGCCCCCCATGGGCAAGCTGCTGTATACTGCTTAGCATTCCCATGCCATGCTCTGTCGTTGGATAGTTAGCTTTTTTTTCCCATGCATCTGACTAACTTAGTTAAACTAGTTAACTAGGTTCCAAGTCTCTTCTCCGTTGGAAGAGCGGATGCTCTGTAGTACATAGTAGTGGTAGTAGTAGTAGTAGTAGTAGCAGCATGTAACTAGTAGCTGTAGGGGAAGGTTGAAAATCTAGCTCTGGGGGGACTGGAGAGCTTCCGAAGCAGCGAGATGCAGGCACGGCTTCTTCCTTTTTTTCGTCTTGCAGGTAGAAAGGGGGTGGAAGGGGAGGGAGGGGGGGGACTTGGTTCCCCGACGGGAATGTCTGGACCAAAGGCAGGCTGAGCATCGATGAGAGGATGGAGGTTGTGTACTTTATGTACTACTTAGTTGTTTATGTCATGACGTAGAGCATATACCTAAGTATTATAAGTGTAGAGGAGAGGAACTATAGGTGACTGTGCACAGGGATAGGAGACTTTCGGCTGCATGCTTTTTCTCCGTATAGTTAGTACGGAGAACTAGTTAACTAGCTAACTAGTTACTGGGGGGAGGGGGGGAGGGGAGCTGAAGAGTTCTCCGTAAATAAATGGCCCTCCAGTCGACCGTGTCCGCGTTCATGCAGGGAGGAGGAGGAGGAGGAGGAGGAGGAGGAGGGCTAACACTAGCTAGTGATGCCCGTCAGAGCGACACCCTTGTCCTGTCAGAAACCTAGGTATGGGGGAAAAACGAAGAGGGTATAGATATGCGGGTTGTTCAAGCGGTACAAGCGCTAGTCTCCCTGGTAGATAGGATAATACATAATACATGTGCACCGAGAGGAGTTGATAATCATGTCCGGCTATTGATCTTGACCCTGGCCCTGACCTCTGACCTTGACTTTGGCCTTGACCTTGACTTTTTTTTGACAGATCTACAGGTCTGGAGGTCTGGAGGTCTAGAGTCTGCAGGTGAGAGCAAATCGTACGACATGGCAGGGCTCATCTAGACCAACTCTGATAAGAAGGCCGGGTGTAGATAATGTGAGTGTATGACTTGACTACCCGATAACACCATCGTTATAGACGAAGAGTACCTGACGGAAAGAAGGGAGAGAGCATTGCTGGAGAGAGAGAACAGTGAGAGAGAGAGAGAGAGAGTGAATGCCAGCCGTGGACATGAGAGAGTACCTGGTGACCCCCTCGTCCGGGACTTGCTGCGGAGAACGCCGGTCCCTTGCATGCGCTGCCTGTCGGAAGAAGCGAGAGAGACAGGAAGAAACACACTTTTTTTTCGACTAAGAGAGATCAACATCGACGGAGAGAGATGGAGATGGAGATGGAGATGGAGATGGAGATGAAGAGCAAGAGCAAGAGAATGAATAATGAGGCGAGAAGGGAGAGCAGAGAGATTACTGGAGCGATGGAGGATGGAGATTTGATGGGAATGGAGATGGAGATGGAGATGGAGAGATGGAGGGATGGAGAGATGGAGAAAGGAGTATGGAGAAGGGCAAGGAGGCTTGCTGTCGAAGTGGCGAGTCTCTTTCTTCTTGTCTTCTTGTCCTTTTTAGTCTTGTCCATCTCTTGGTCTTGTCTAGCTATCTATCTATCTGTCATCATGAGTATCTGTCATGCAGGACGAATATAGCATCAACAAGTCATTAGCCGACGACGGCCTATAAGTTAACTTCCACCACTTCTAACTTCCACTTGTACGGGGAAATTAGCCCCTGTTTGTTATATTAATATAACTATTATTTTATTTTTTTTCTTTTAATGGATGTAACTGTCACTTCGGTAACAGCGGCCGACCGGAAGCCCAGCCCCGGAAGATCTCGAGCCTTAGGGCTTCTCTTTTTTACTACTGGTAGAGTAGTTAACTCGCAGTAAGTAGTAATAATAATCTTCATCTGTCGCCATCGCCGTCATCTCCCGACTTCCGTCCTCCCGGCCTTGGCCATCAAGGTAGACAAGGCCATCCCATCTAATTACATTCATTACAGCCTAAAGCCCAAGCCCAAGCCCAAGCCCAAGCCGAAGCCCAAGAGTCAAGACTACGGAGAACCAGGGACTTAACTACTAGCGCAGGAGAGTAATGTAAGTATGTACATACACTGGAGAGAGCCTAGTGAGTGAGAGATGTCCGTGCCTGATGCATGTGTCAGGGAGTGGCGTGGCTGGCTGGCTGGCTGGGGAAGCAAAGCGACTTTTCTTCTTCTTCCCCGGATCATCTAGGAGAATCATGAGTAAAAGTAAGAGGCATGAGTAAGAGAGAAGGAATATGAGAGTAAGAGAGAGAGACAGCAAGAGTAAGAGAGAGAGAGAGGCGTGGTGAGCCGAGGTCGTTTCAGTGGGCGAAGAGCAAAAGGGAGATCCAGAAAAGGGGTCGAGGAAGGCAAAAGAACAGCCAAAGGCAAAAGCAAAAGCAAAAAAAGGCAGAAAACCCAAGAAGGAGACAAGGGGAAAGATGGAGCTGGAGCTGGAGCTGGAGCTGGAGCTGGAGATGGAGAAGACCAGGAGACGACAAGGAGACTCCGCGTGGCCTGAGGGTGGCGAGAGGAAGAGGAAGACTCAAGAGGAAGACGGCAGTAAGAGAAGAAGACTCAAGTAAAGAATAAGAGAGCAAAGAGAGCAAAGAGAGAGAGAGACCAGTCGGAAGAGCCAAGGACGACCTCGTGGGCTGCAGCAGCGCAGGTGGCAGCCGAAGGGCGCAGAAAGACAGTCAGAGAAGCCAGCGAGTCGTAGGCTGAGGGAGGGCGGAGGGCGATGGCTAGTAGGGATGCCTAGGGATGGCTAGTAGTAGGGATGGGTTAGGGACAAGTTAGGGGATAAGTTAGTGTAGCAGTGGGAGCGACAGAGAGCAACGCAGTGCCTAGGAGGATCGTTCAGTGTGGGGTTTTTCCCTTGGGAGCGCCGGAGGGGAAGAAGCTTTGCCTTTTTTTTTTTTTTATTTCTTTTTATTTCTTTTTCTTTTTTCTCTTTTTTTGCTCTTGTTTTTTTTTTTTTTTCCTTTTCTTTGCTTTTTCTGCGTTTCTTCTTCTTCTTTTGTTTCGTCTTTTTTTCGTCCTTTTTTCGTGGCTTCTTTTTGTCGTCGACAGTTTTTGGCTGCTGAAAAGGCCTTCTTCTCCCTCTTTAACTCTTTGCCCTCTGCTCTCTTATCTACTCTACTCTACTCTACTCTCCCTCCTAGTCTGCTATTACGTCTACTACGTCTATTACGTCTTCCTCTGCTGACTTTTGCCGTGACGTCCCCAAGTGACGCTGCTTGGCTAGGCTGGCTCGGCTGACTCTGGAGGCGTCTGGCATCCCGACTACTTAAGGACAGCCTTCCCCAGACTCCCAGACTGACTCCTAGACTCCCCGTACCACCACCACCACCACCACTCCAACATCACCACTACTACACTACTACAACACCATCACTGCTACTGCTACTGCTACTACAACATCATCACTTCTACAACTACAACATCTACTACTACAACAGTATAAAAGTCATTCAAGATAAGAAAGATGCCGGACGATAAGCCGGAGCTGCCGCGGCCCTACAAGTGCCCCCTCTGCGAAAGGGCCTTCCACCGCCTCGAGCACCAGACAAGACACATCCGCACTCACACCGGCGAGAAGCCGCATGCCTGTCTCTTCCCCGGATGCGCAAAGCGCTTCAGCCGGTCAGACGAGCTCACCAGGCACTCGCGCATCCACTCCAACCCCAGGAAGCCCGGCAAGCATCACCACCACCACTCCCACCACCATCACCAGCCCACCGCCGCTGTCGGCCCTGCTCCTTCTCATACGGCTGCTGGTCCTGGTGCTGGTGGTGGTATTCTCGATGGCAAGGCGAGGTCGGCTCCCGTCAGCCAGGCGGTCTCTCCAAATGTCTCGCCGCCTCACTCCTACGCCGTTCCCTACGCTGCTCACTCGCCCTCGACACTCAACCCTTACGCCAGGCCCGTCACCGTCTCTGCGCCCGCCTCGGCTGCCTCCACCATGGACATCAACATGCTGGCCTCCGCCGCCAGCCAGGTAGAGCGAGACCACCAGCTCGCTCCCTCTCCTACCACCGCCGCAGCCGGCACAACCACAACCACAAACACAAACAACTCGACATACAGGCATCGGACGGGATACAGCCACTATCCTCCCTCCATGGCTCCGACACCTCCTGCAGCTCCTTCCACCACCAACAATAGCTCGCCATCTCAGATGCAGATACCCCCTGTTCCAGGCCTCCCCCAGGCACCGGCCAGGCTGCCCTCGCTCTCCGCCTACGCCATCTCCATGACCCGCTCCCACTCGGACGAAGAGCACCATCACCACCACCACCACCATCACCATCACCACAGCAGCAACGGCCACAGCCATAACCACAACCACTACGCCTACAGGACGAAACGGTCTCGGCCGTCTTCGCCCAACTCCACGGCTCCTTCGTCTCCTACACTCTCTCATTCTTCGCTCTCTCCCACGCCAGACCACACCCCGCTGGCCACGCCCGCCCACTCGCCCAGACTAAGGCCGTACTCCTATGTCTCGCCGGACCTCCAGCTTCCGTCCATCAGACAGCTGAGTCTGGCTGCTCATGCTCCTGCTCCCGCCCTGGCGCCCATGGAGCCTCACACAGACACCTCCTCGTCTCACTCCACTCTCACCCACTCCACTTACTCTGCTCCCATAACGCCTGCAGCCACAGCCACAGTCACCTCTCCTCTGGGGGCCGGTGTCAAGGGGCCCTCGATAAGCGACATCATGCACCGTGCAGATGGGACGCAGCGGAAACTGCCTGTGCCCCAGGTGCCCAAGGTAGCCATCCAGGAAGTCCCCTTGGACCTGGACAGATATTAATCTTCCTCTTTTCTTTCTTTTTCTTTTTCTTTTCTTTTTTCTTTTGGGTTATTGAAAAGTACGGGGTTTAGATGGGGTTGGAAAAGTGCATAGACATCACCGCTTCTTTTTTTTTTCTTCTCTAATTTTCTTACCGCTTCTTACTATTATTACCTATTTACTATTACTATCACCATAGATGGGCGGCTTGCTGTAAGTAAAGGCTTATGGAACATGAATTAATCTTCACTATCCTTTTTTTTTTTTTTTTTTTTTTTTTTTTTTTTTTTTTTAACGTTATTCACTTTTACTACACTCTCTTGTAGAAGTGCTCGCCCGTCGACACCACCCTCACCTCGTCTCCCACGCTTATCTTGAAGTCTACAGACGTTAGTTAGCATTCAGTAGAAACGGCAGAGACAAGTATCGTAGAATCGGAGTGAGTGGCTTACCTGGCCTGCTCGGCACCAGCATCATGCCCAGACAGCCGCCCTTTGCGCCCGCGTCAATCACCCGCGTCCCCCGCAGCGTCTTGTCCGGCTCAACCGCATGTCGCTCTCCCGTGTCCGGGTCGACGTTGGGCAGCTTGCACCTCACCGTCCGACAACACACATGCACATCCACTCCATCACCATCTTCCTTCTCTTCATCTTTATCTCCATCTCCTGGTACAAATCTAATCATCTTCCACGCATCCTCCTCATACGCCCGGACTCCCTCCAGCACCACATTCGGCCGGAACCGCCTCACACTCAGCTGCGGGATAGCATACTTCGTCCGCCCATGCATCTCCCGCAGACTGCCCATACTCTGCATCTGCAACGGGTACTCGTCACTAAACGCCTTGTCAGGAACATACCCCAGCTCCCGCTCGCTCGGCGCATTGCCCACCGCAACCCGCACATGCTCCGGGTGCACCCTAAACAGGCCCAATGGCTTCTTGCTGCCTAGAAACTCCGCCAGCGCAGCAGGGACATGCGTCGCATACCTCGTCGCGCGCGTAGGGATGCTGAACAGCCGCAGCTCTTCGAGGGGGTACTCGCTGGAGTCTGCCGCCGGCGGGTTGAGCGGGATGCTAAACCACTCCTCGCTCTCCAGCAGGCCGAGCTGGATGCCCAGACGGGTCCAGGGCGGTAGGCGGGAGGTGTCGCGTGGGTAGAAGATGAGTAGCACGCCGTCGGATTTCACGCTGTGAAGGCGCTTGTCGTAGGTTGGGCTGGAGGGGTCGGGGAGCCAGATCTCGGGGCGTATCAGCGCGAGACGAGAGTATGTGCCGTTTCGTAGGGTTTTGGCGTCCCAGTGTCCGCTCTTACCGTCGTCGTTGCTGTTGTCGTCGTCGGTGTACTCTGCGAAACAGAAGCGGCGGTCCCAGGCGAGTCCGCTGTCTTTGAAATGCGTAAAGTTGAACTCGATGCCTCGACAGGATTTGATAGGGTAGGCTATCAGCGCCTTGATGCGTGGTGTCGGCTTCTCGTTGTTGTTCTTCTGGCCTGGTTTGAGTCCGTCGGGGCTGTATTCGTGCTCGTCGTGCAGGTTCGAGTGCCCGTCGTGAAGGCCGAGTTTGCGGCATCCCTTGGGCGTGCGGGCTCGGGCTCGTCGGCTCCTCAGCTCGTAGTATGCCATCCCCATCACGGGGAAGACGAAGAGTATGTATAGCAGCGCAATGGCCACGGGAACCGGCAGGTTCAGCCGTGGCATCATCCCGCGAAGGAACAGCATCTTTCCTCTCCCTTCTCTTTCGTTGTCTTTTGGGTATCTCGGTCGATTTGAGACTACTACAACAGCGGCCCCCCCTTCAGCCCTTATATATAGCCAGCTGCGTCAAAGGGCGCGGCCTGTCTGTCCAACGTCAAGCAAGGCCCAGGTCATGGGCTGGTATTGCTGCGGGAATCGTTTCTATTATTCTTTCTGCATTATTGGCATCTCACTGCATACGAGCCTATTCACGGCAATTAGTCAGTAAATTTTTCGCCTGTCTGGTTCGGCCTTTGCGAAACGATTGGAACCCTTACCTGGCCTTATCTGGCTTCCTCCGGCCCGGCCCACGCCCTTCGTCGCTAGGTCCGGCTGTCCGGCGATCTCAGCCGTTTTGCTGGAAAAAGGCCGAGCGTGCCTCGATCGATCAGCTGTGCCAGCCTTACGGACCACACTCAGAGCAGAGTTCGCCGTTTCGTAATAGTAATAGTTCTGGGGTGATGAGCGGCGGTGATCGGAAGTGAGTGACTGAGTGACTTGCGGCTGGCTGGCTGGCTGGCTGGACCTCGGCTGGTTGGTGTTGATGTTAACTAGTTAGTTAGTCCCCCGGGGATCAAAAGACAGCTCCACCGGCCTCAGGAACCTCCACGTCGACGCTCGACGCTCGACCTCATGGTAGAGACCAAGCCAGAGGCAGACGGATGACGATGGACGGCGATAGAGCTGCCATGGACGGCAAGATGAAGAAGTTCCTGGCCTACCCGGAGCCTCGAAAGGGGTGAGTCGATGGCTTTACTTGCACTTACTTGCAACTTGTACTGATGAGTACCGCTGACGACACAGGCCGGACGTCGCATACCGCAATGAGCGGAAGCAGAATCCCACCATGAGCGGCCTCGTGCTGGTCTTCGCGGCTTTCGTGTAAGTCTCTCTCCTTGATATCGCCAGTTGTCATCCTCGCTGATGGGCGTCGTGTCGTGTCGCAGCTTCGAGTACGTGGGCATGATTCGACACCTCATCTGGAAGAACGCCGGATTCGCCAGCCTGCGCAAGATCAGAAAACAGCTCGAAGACTACGAGCCGCGAGTCGACCCGACCGTCGTACCGACTTCCGAGATCCTTGAAGACGATGACGCCCTGCAGAACCAGGAAGCAGAAGGGGAGAATGGCCAGAAAGTTTATACCGCCGAAGCGCAGCTGGCCTCTACCGCCGTGCCGCCGCGCGCCAGATACTATACGGTGCAAGACTACCATGACATGTACGTCTCGGGTGAACTGACGCCGACGGCGGTAGCAAAGGCCATCTTGCCGCTTATACGCCGAGATACTACGCCGCCGGGAGAACACTCTGCGGCCTGGTTCGAGACGCGGGTTGACCTGGTTCTGGCTGCGGCTGAAGCGTCAACCTTACGGTATAAGCAGGGATGCCCACGAGGACTGATGGATGGTATACCAACCGCCGTCAAGGACGAGTACGACATTGACGGGTACAAGACTTGTCTGGGCTCCTTGAACGATTACACAAGCGATCCTGCCTCATCCGGCGGCTCCATTGCCAGCTGGTGTGTAAGAAAGCTTGAGGAGGCCGGAGCTGTCGTCCTGGGGAAGCTCTCCATGCACGAATTCGGTCTGGGTATGTATACTCTCGCTGAGATATATATATATATACTACATAAACAAGTATTAACAGTCGATGTAGATACCTCTGGAAGTAACCCGAACTACGGCACTCCCCTCAACCCGTACAACCCCAAGTACTACACCGGCGGCAGTTCCTCCGGCACCGCTTACGCAGTCAGTGTCGGACTGCTCCCCTTTGCCCTCGGAAGTGATGGCGGCGGCAGCATTCGCATCCCATCCTCGTTCTGCTCCGTCTACGGCCTCAAGCCAACCCACAGCAGAATCTCCCACCACCCGGGCCCCAACCATTCCAACACCTGTGCCGTCAACGGGCCCATAGCGGCTGACCTGCAATCCCTCTCCGCACTCTACCGCATCATAGGCTGCCCGCCACCAACCTCACCTTTCCTGCCAGTCTCTCCAAGGCTCGCGCCCTGCAATCCCAACGGCGCCAAATACCTCGGAGTCCCCGAAGCGTGGTTCTCCCAGGCAACTCCCGCAATCCAACGTCTCTGCCGATCCGCCATCTCCACCCTCGCTGATAAACACAACTACACCGTCGTGCCCATCCAGATACCCTACCTGGTTGAAGGCCAGATCGCACACGCCGTCACCATCCTCACTGACGCCGCGACTTTGCTCCCCGATACATCCAATCTCACAGCCCCGAATAAGATACTGCTTGGTCTGGGTCGCGAAACGCCTGCTACGGATTACTTGCTTGCTCAGAAGCTTCGTCGCTTGCTAATGCAGCATCTCTCCTGGCTATGGAAGGAGTACCCGGGTATGATCATTGTGACGCCCACGACCAGCTGCGCGGGCTGGCCGATTCGGGACCAGAAGGAGCTCAAGTACGGTATCAGCGATGGAGACCAGACGCTGAAAACGATGAATTTCATCTGGTTGGCTAACTTTACTGGTCTCCCTGCGATTAATGTGCCTGCGGGCTTTGTAGTTCCCGAGGGCGCGAAGAACGAAGGCGAGATCGCGGAGGAGAGCACCGAGGGGAAGATACCGATTGGGTTGATGGGGACGGGCGAATGGGGCAGTGAGGATTTCCTTATGCGTTGGGGTCTGGATGTTGAGAATGTCGTGGGTGATCGCAGGTCGAAACCGCCTGTCTGGGTGGACGTCGTTGCTAAGGCGAAGCAAGCTATGCAATCCGGCGTGTAGATATAATATAGAACATTAACATAGATATAGACGGGTTCAACAGCTAACGAGGACCTTGATATTGAGGCGGAATTAGAGTTTGGCCTTATCGATAAGCCTTTCGCGTAGGCGCGTTTTCGCGTCGTCGTAGCCGCTTAATTGAACCGCTTAAGTGACTAACACCTCCGACTATTATTACCATTGATGAGGGATTCTCTGTCGACTGCCGTCTCGATGGCCATGGTGAGCCATGAACAGAGACACAGCTAATTTCCAGGCAACACCAACACGTATGTATTTATACATTCTATGGTAAATAACAAGTTGTTAACCGGCCAGTAGTCCACTCGCAGAATCCTAGCCAATTACTCAGCTCATCGACCGGAAGGACTCCCCTCTCTACCAGCCTACCACACCTCGACAAGGCACTGATACCCCCCTCAAATCATGCTGCAAATACGCCTGCCGATGTTCTCCCCGCTGCATCTCAATTTGTGCTTCCGGGATGGACCCAGTTAGGTCCGAGTGCGGCTGGCGCAGAAGGCGGGAATGCCAATGTTGATTCTGGCAGCAATAATGGGAATGGAGACGCTGAAGAGTCACAAACTCCTTTGTCACCGGGTATTCGCAGAGGAGAAATCACGGAACTCTCTGGACCACGAGGATCCGGCAAGACGTCTCTGGCGTAAGTCGGCTTGTTTCCTTCCCTTCCGGTGCTTTTACCATGCTGAACCTACCTTACCTAGTATGACCACTGCCGTGAATGCATTGAAGCAAGGAGAGACAGTCATATGGATAGGTAAGGCAACCCCTTCTACATTGCATTACTATCGACATGCGACTAACTAGGGGGGCGGGCCAGATACCGCTGGTCCCATATGCATGTCCAGGTTTGAAAGGATGCTATCAAGAGACAGCACCCCTCTTGAAACCCAGGACCGACTACGGAATCTACTCCATTTCCAACCTACCACGCTCGCCCACCTGCTGGCCCTGATATGCCATCCTATCGCTGACTTCCCGCCACCCAACACAGGTCTGATAGTGGTAGATTCGATATCATGTCTGTTTGGCTCGGAGTTCCGATCCAAGCTCCCTGCAAAGCTGGGCAGCAAGGCCAAAGACCTCCACGGTACAGGGTCAAGGGCCAACAAAGAGGCGCAGGAGTCCAAACTCTGGTGGAAACTGATAGGTAGCTTGTCCTCGAACCTTAATGCTCTTGCGTCTCGGTTCGACTGTGCTGTGGTCGTGGTCAATGAGATGGTGACTCGGTTTCGCTCGGGCCAGAAACCGATGCTGCATGTTGCGATATCCGGGTATACGTGGGACACGAGCGTGGCTACGCGGGTGATATTGTACTGGCATTGGCTAGATTCTGGAGTCAGCGAGAAGTTTGGTATGGCGCGGATCAGGATTGCAGAGGTGTTTAGGGCGGGCAAGAAGGCTGTTTTGCCCCGGGCCGTGGAGAGGATTGTTCCATTCCTTGTGGAGGATGAGGTATGTTTTTTTGTCTTTTATTGAGGTTAAATGATGTTTTTATTTGCTGATGTTAGCTTTTTAAGGGCCTGACTGAGTTTATGCGGCTGCCGATTAGTCTGGGTGGTACAAGGGGCACGGTGACGCCTGTGTCTGCGAAAAGGAAGCTTGACGGGGATGAGCTTCTTGGAGCTCAGCTCCCTCGTCGGCCTAAGATAGGGCATGATAGTGAGGAAGAGGAGAGCGTGGAAGAGAAGGAGGAGAAGCCAGAGGAGAAACTAGGTGAAGCCGTGCTGGCGAGTACGAGTCTACCTGCCGAGATAATGGACAGCCAGGACGAGGAGGAAGATGAGGAGTGGTTGGAGGCTGTTGATCTACAGTCTTCTACCGAGCCGAACACCCAGCAAGAGGAGGACGATACAGAGCAACTGCTCCGGAGCATGGTTGAGGGCGATGTCTAGATAGATAGTAAATTTGTTAGTGCCAGATTACTATATGTAGTAACCAGCACGAATGCTAAGAGAAGCGATAAATATAGCATCTTGGTCGATCTTGGGTCGGCAGAGCATTTTCGTATCGCGGTTCGATAACCTCCCCGACTCCGATGCAGCGAATGGTATATAAACCGTTATCTAGAGCGTTGGCGAAATACACTACCATCTCACATGCCTACAATAACAACGTCAGGATCAATCAACAATAACATCCATCGTCACCATGCTACTGAGTCAACCCTGGCGAGTCGGCCTGACAGCCCTCGGCATCGGCTTCAACGCGTACACAGTGCTGGTCCACACCACCTACGGCTTCACCAGGGTGCTGCCCATGCTGCGCTCGCATAAGAGCAAACTCTACGACATCATCGGCATCTGCTTCCAGCATCTGATGATCCTCCCCACGATCGGCAGTAAGTCAATGTCATGCCACGGATCCTGAAACTAGACCGTATAATCCCACAATAATAATTAAAACATCATGCCATGGCTCAACCCCAACCCTCAACCCCCCATCCGGAGCTATATACCCCGTGAAACTATTTCCCTCCTGTGCATCAAACGACTTTTTTTCCGCGCTAATGCAGGACAAACATCGACTAACCAGCTAATAATAATGGGTAGTAATATTGCAGCTGAAGTGGTTCCACCACGGCATCGAAGGTCCGTTCGAAAAGCCACTTTTCTACACCTACTTGTTGGGCAACTTGGCGTGCGGAGGGTGGTATGCATCTATGGGCGTGGTGAATCCTCTGTTGAGCACGGTGTTTGCACCACTGGCGTCGCTGCTTTGTGTTCTTTGATCGATGTTTCTATCAGTTATCCTTGTATAATATATGAGTCTGATAATCTCCAATGGGAATGTTTGCTGCTAAGGAAGTAGATGTTTGTCGAAGTTTCTTAGTAAGTCGGGCAGATCCGGGGAGAGGAAGAGAAAAAGGGCTGGGCCGGAGGGACCGCGGATGGAAGACACATGGGAAGCTTCGTCAGTCTCCGAGGCCCATGGATGGATGGTTGGGTGGTGGGAGGGTCGGGCATGAAGAAAATTCCCCGGCAGCTTCAGACTCCTGGTCGGTATTTATTTTCATAACTCTTCTCCATACCTAGAAGGAGATCTGCCGCATGCAAGTGCTCGGTCGCAGCAGATGCTAGCAAGCAAGGCCGGCGTCTAGCAAGGATGGCAGTTTTGAAGATTTGCTTTGCTGCTTATCTTATCATCCGGGGGGGGGCGAAGATGCCTCGGCTGTTTCCTTTTTGAGACTGAAGGAAGAAAAGATGCTGCAAAAAGAAGCCATCTTAGTCATCTCTTAGTCATCACTAAGAAGGGCAGATTTTTTCTGTTGGGGAAGAGGTGCTTTGACGCTAGACCTCTTTGGGTAGTCAGTTGTCCGGTACAAAAAGCGACTTTGAAGTAGACGACGAGAAGAAGAGAAGAACAGCTAAGAGAAGACAATTAAAGAAGAAGATGGGAAGGGAAGATAGAGGATAGAGTGATGAGAGAGATAAGCGATAAGATAAGAGATAAAAGATGACGACGAAGGACTGAAAAAAAATAAATGACGACCGGCAAGGAGTCTCTCTTTTTTCTGTGGCGACGCTCTCTCGGCTCGATGATGTAGTTTGTTGGGAGGCGAGGCCAGCGCCGTTGGAGGGCGTATTACTTACATAAGCACGTATCGTCATGTCACGGCTGATCGACTCTGCGACTCCCAGGGGGGCCATCAGGGCCATCAAGTGCTCGAGAAACCCCCAGCAGCAGCACCATCGATGCACAGAACCCGCTGAGACGAAGCCAGGCCGCAGAAGGGGAGCCCACAGTTGCAATTGACCCAAAGGGGCAGCAGTGGCAGGCCCCCGTCGGACGCTGGCCGCAGCAGCCAACAGCGAGTCGTGTATTGTAAATGCGATACTCCGTACCAGCGGCCGCCGCAAGCCTGCCCCAGCCCGGCCTCCTGCAGCCTCCACTCAGGCACCGCGAAAAGCAACCAAAAGCTTGTCCCATCCACTTCCGCCCCAACAAGACGCGGCGAGGGAGGCAGGCAAAAGAAAAAGGCAAAAAGGGCAAAGATGCGAGCCGGCGAAAGGACTTGCACAAGGAGAATTCGAGGGCAAAGACAGGCAGCGAGAAAGCAGGGAAGACGCAGGCAGCTGACAGGCTCTTCTAGGGCTTTTCCTCTTTTTCCTCTTTCCCCCTTTTCTTCTTTTTGCCTTCTTTCCCACTGGTGGTGCCATCTCTGTTTTAGCCTGCTGGGGGGTGTTTATATAACTAGATCCCGCCATCCTCCTCCAGACTGCATCATCATTCCTCCTGGACAAACAGTCAAACAGGACAGATCTGGTAGACTCTGCTGTTTGCCTCTGTCATCACTGTCGCCGTCGTCGTCGTCATAGTCGACCTTCTGCCTCCTCCGTGGTAGAGTCGAAGGGAGTGCTTCTAACTCTTGCACCTCTCCCTTCAACATCTGTCTATCAACTTGATACCAACATCAACCCTGGGTATTCCGAATATACTAGAACAATAAACGACGACACCATGGGAGACGCCGGTCTGTCGACAGTCCAGCCTGCTCAGGCTCAGGCTCAGGCTCAGACTCCTCAGCAGCAGCAGCAGCAGGACAAGAAGCCGCATATCACAGATACCAAGATGACCCTCGCCAACTGGTACCAGCACGTCAACTGGCTCAACGTCACCCTGATCCTGGGAATCCCTCTGTCTGGCTGCATCCAGGCTTTCTGGGTGCCGCTGCAGCTCAAGACTGCCATCTGGTCGGTGGTCTACTACTTCATGACCGGCCTGGGAATCACAGCTGGTAAGTAGATGAAATCATACATCAAACAATATATATAAAAAAAAAAGGGATATGATGTACTAACGAGAGTAGGATACCATCGTCTCTGGGCTCACTCCTCGTACTCTGCCACTCTCCCCCTGAGAGTCTACCTGGCTGCCGTCGGTGGTGGTGCCGTGGAGGGATCTATCAGATGGTGGGCTCGCGACCACCGTGCCCACCACCGCTACACCGACACCGACAAGGACCCTTACTCTGTCCGCAAGGGACTGCTCTACTCCCACATCGGCTGGATGATCATGAAGCAGAACCCCAAGCGCATCGGCCGTACTGACATCACCGACCTGAACGAGGATCCCGTCGTCGTCTGGCAGCACAAGCACTACATCAAGGTTCTCCTCACCATGGGCTTCCTCTTCCCTGCGCTTGTCAGCGGTCTCGGATGGGGCGACTGGCTCGGCGGATTCATCTACGCCGGCATCCTTCGCGTCTTCTTCGTCCAGCAGGCCACCTTCTGCGTCAACTCCCTCGCCCACTGGCTCGGAGACCAGCCCTTCGACGACCGCAACTCCCCCCGAGACCATGTCATCACCGCCTTCGTCACCCTCGGCGAAGGATACCACAACTTCCACCACGAGTTCCCGTCAGACTACCGCAACGCCATCGAATGGCACCAGTACGACCCCACCAAATGGACCATCTGGATCTGGAAGCAGCTCGGCCTCGCCTACGACCTCAAGCAGTTCCGCGCCAACGAGATAGAAAAGGGCCGTGTCCAGCAGCTTCAGAAGAAGATCGACCAGCGCCGTGCCAAGCTCGACTGGGGTATCCCGCTCGACCAGCTGCCCGTCATGGAGTGGGAGGAGTACGTCGAGCAGGCCAAGAACGGCCGTGGTCTGATTGCCGTGGCCGGTGTTGTCCACGACGTTACCGACTTCATCAAGGACCACCCCGGCGGCAAGGCGATGATCAACTCTGGCATCGGCAAGGACGCTACCGCCATGTTCAACGGCGGTGTCTACAACCACTCCAACGCCGCCCACAACCTGCTCTCGACCATGAGAGTCGGCGTCATCCGTGGAGGATGCGAGGTCGAGATCTGGAAGAGAGCCCAGAAGGAAAACAAGGAAGTCGACTTTGTACGTGATGAGTCTGGAAACCGTATCATTCGTGCTGGTTCACAGGTGACCAAGATCCCTGAGTCGTTCCCGTCTGCTGGCGCCGCTTAAACGCCTTTTTTTTTTTTTTCCTGCGTCCGTCGTTTTGCTGCTTCTTCGACTTGCTGCTTCTTCGACTTGTTGCTTCAGCGTCTTTCAGCGTCCTGCCTCTTCTTCTAACCCGTTTCTTCTTTAAGACATGATGGTTAACGATTTGGTCTCTTTCCTTGCGTAGACGACTAGAGTCACGTCATGAGCCCGTGGATGACTGGCCTTTTTTCTTATCCTCCTCTTCCGATGATGATGATGCTATCCTTTCGAGCCTGGAACTGGAACCATTACCTGCCAACTGGACAGACAGGCTCCCTCCCTCCGACCTGGAAACGGACTCCCCTTCGATTCCTCCCGTGGTCCTGGAACGAAACCTCCCTTTGCCTTCGTTATCTCCCTTTTCATAACCCCCGTCCGAACCGTCGACTATGCCGTGCTATGGCCAGGGAAACGAACAGACCTCCCGCCATCTAATAACTCTGTACTCTTCTTTTCTTTTTCTTATTCACGTGTCTCTTTTATGTGTGTGTCTCTTTGTGCTTTGTCTGGGGTCTGGAGTTACGAGGAACTAGTTGATATGGGGGGAGGCTACAGATTTTTATCCTTTTTCTCGCGAAAAAACACACCACCTACGCTTTCTACTCAGTGTCTTTGTCTACCAAAAAGTGTTTAAACTGCCAGACAATAAAACATAATTAATGACTATGATCATGACCATCCTTAGCAGAGAGACCCATAACTATCATTACGTAAAACTAGCTAGCTGTAACCAACTGCTTGGCTGTCCTTTTTCAACTTCCCAGGGCTGCTCTTTGCTCTCATGCATGCAGTGGACAGCTTCACGTAGCTGCAGGTCATTCTTCTATCTAGATACCTACGTCTATATCTAGATCTGCTCTACTCCAGACTATATATACAGCCACAGTGACCACGACTGGCTCCGGCCAACTGCCAGCTAACAGTTACACAG